TAATGAAGTGTCGTCACACTTCGTAATTAACGAAGTGTCGTCCAAGGGTTGTGGCATGCATGCATCCATCCGAAGGGTCTCCGATGACTCCTCGGAAGTTCCGCCAAGGCTGTCCAGGTTCGTCCATCTCGCCAAGATCATCTCCTATATAAGGAGTGGTCTTTTTGCTGTAGAGTACACTAAGAAAACTTGAAACTCAGTACTCTGTGCGTCCAACTCTTTCTCACCATTTCGATCAACTTCTCCGAGCAATAACTTCCCTTCATTCTCGTTCACCGGTGATTTGTTCTACCACTCTAGACTTAGCACGCTGCGGTTTTATCTTGGGAGGAGATTGCCCACATTTTGCCAGTGCGGGAGGTGGGCAATACTACTTTAAGATTGTTGAGTATTACATCGGGAAAATAAATAAAATTAATCTAAACTTGTAAAACGTTCGAATTTTACAACGGAAAAGTAAAACAAAGAAAATGGAGTCTCCGGAAGCTGGAACGCGAACAGACAGATCAGAAACACTAACAGCTACGCCGGTAGGAGCGTCGGATGGAAAGCAGCGGGTCGCCGGAGCAGTTTCTGGAAATAACGGTAAGGAAAGCGGAGTCGCCAAAGATTTCCTTAAGGTAGTATTGCCCGCCTCCCGCTGCTTTCAATTCGATGCTCCTACCGGCGTAGCTGTTCATGTTCCTTATCTGTCCGTTCGCGTTCCATCTTCCGGAGACTCCATTTTCTTTGTTTTACTTTTCCGTTGTAAAATTCGAACGTTTTATAAGTTCGGATTAATTTTATTTATTTTCCCGCTGTAATACTCAACATTGGGTAAATATCTGATCAAGTCTCTCTCATTTTATGCCACAAGTTGTCAAGCTTTTGATGTGTTTCATGTATGCAATTTATGTCACAGTCATTTTGTGCTCATGTATGATTTCACATTTTTTCCTCCTCCTTCTAACCTTTAGGTGGAGCTTGTGCATTATTTGAAGCTTCAGCGTGCACTTTGAAATTTCCCACATAAGATGGTTTAATTACTCTTCTGGCCTGGACTTTGACCCAACCAACTAGTTCTGACAAACTGAAGGTTTGATGATCACTGATTGACATGACTTGACTGGTTTTGGGGAACTTCCTGGGCAGTCTGCCATTACTCTGCAAGGGTTTCTCCACCATGCTGTTGTGGCCTTTTGCTCTCCTTTTGCCATACTTTTGGAAGGTTCGATAATAACTTATTGCGGCTTAGAGGATGTACATGGAAATGGCGAACGATGGTGCAAGTAACCCCTTGGGGATCATGTAGTGTCCATCGTGTGCCGTTTCTTTTACATATGAATCTGAAATGCAGCGTCACACCCTGGCCTTGACTTCGATGCTGCGAGCGATTATCCTGCTGCGCCCTTGTTATGGCAGTATGATAGGCTGCGACGAGGGAAACTTTTATTACTTCTTTTTGTTGCTATGTAAACTTGTCTTGTATGGCACGAGTTTCCTTTGCCCCGATGCGTTGTATATGTGCTTTGTATGTGTACTCTGTATTGACTCTTTAGTACTCCTCTTTAGTACTCAAAGTGATTTACTGAGTAAATTACCTCTGAACCACCCTCCCCAGATCCTATTCTTGTGGGATTCAATTGGGATGTTCTTGTTTCAAGTTTTGACTTTTAGCAAATAACAATGACTTCAAAAACTTTCTCAATATATAACTAATTTCGTATATGTTGTTTTGATCATCATTGCATTATTACAATCAAAAGGATCCAGTGATTTTGTGTTGTGGAAGCCACAATTTTTATGCAAAATATGTTAATTACACCAAGAGTAAATCTAAGTATATATTTATCATGAAAGATATATCCATTATCTTTCTTCAGACCCTAACCACTGTTATACAAAGTGCCCAATCAACCTTGCTATCGTCAACATCCTTATGCTTTGATGGACATTTAGTTTTCTTTGTAGCAACCTCTTGAAATGTCGATTGCAAAAATCATGTATGAATATTTGTGTTTTGTGATGAATCCAATGCTTGTTCATAGTTTGCTGGTGCTTCGAAATATAATACTCCTAAGTGGAAGTTAGTGGTGGAGACGTGTGGGAGGTTGGGCATTTGTGTGGGCAATTGCTATTATACAGAGTAATAATAATATGATTTGTTTTCTTTGCAGGGGCCAAGGGGCACTAACTTGTGAAGTAACGGTGCATTAGTGATGTTTCCATTAGTTACCCATTTTTCTTTTGCTTTTTACAGTTACTTTTAGAATAATTATAATAATTGTAATTAATATTAATGTTGATATTATTATTGTTGTTGTTAAAGAAAGAGTATAATTCTGGACGGAGCAACTTGTGTTTTTTTACAATTAGTTTTTTATTTATTTATGACAATTGAAAATTAAAGATAATGTTATCTAATTTTTTTCTACACTCCAACTGGCTCAAGATACTCTGAATCATGCAACAAAAAAATCGGCCCACGTTGCCATTGGCCCAAAATTTTGGCAGGAAAGTTTTCATCTTGGTTTTGTAAAGAGGTAGATAAAATTTAGAATAAGACTTTAGAATTAGCAAATCTACAAAAATGTAAGCAATACCAAATTAAAATCATTTATTTACAATATGCATATTTTTTAGAAAAGTAAATTCCATAATTGGTCTTTTATAACAGAGGAGTTTCCATATTTAGTCCTCTATTATCAAATATTATCCCCACAATCCTTTTTTTAAAGGTGTCTTTCCACAAATGGTCCTTTTTTTGATCTTCTACCATGTTGGTGTTAATTTAAAGGCTAAAAGTATAATTTGACATCAACATTATGTCTAGTGACGTGTTCTGATATTGGTTAAGCGGATAACACAAAAATAATGACTATGATTGTGGGCTATGATTCTGACGAAAGACCATATTTGTAGACTATGTTTGTAGTAGAAAGCGACTGTAATTCACAAACGATGCAAACGGAACAGACTTTGGAATTGTGTATGACAAAAAATATATATTATCATTGTTAAATTACACTTTTAGCCCTCAAATTAATATCAACATGATAGAAGATCAAAAAAGGACTATTTGTGGAAAGATACCTATAAAAAAAAGACCACTGGGGTAATATTTGATAACAGAGGACTAAATAGGGAAACCCCCCTGTTATAAAGGACTAATTATGGAATTTACTCTTTTTAGAATAATAATTTATATAGTAAGTGAAAATTATGATTGAAAAAAAATCCTACATTTGCGTTGCAGCCACCTCGCAGCGTTTGTCACCATCTCTGACGTCGAATGATGCTCCTAATAATCAATGATCAGATGACAAAATATATTTCTAATTCTAATTCTAATGAAGGGGTAACAACTCGAAGTTGGGTGCCATTTTTGCCATCCCTCGTCGGAGTCTTGTGAACATCTCTATATGGGTGTCTTCTAACTAAGGGATATAAATTATGTCGAGCAGGGAAGACTTCGACCATTTTCAGGCTCCAGAATGTTGAGGCAAAGAGAGAAAGTAACGCTCCAGAATGCTGAGGCAAAGAGAGAAAGTAACGCAGGATGTGTGTTCCCAAGGCAAAGAAGAGAATGAGATTTAGTTATTTTCTTATTGATAATTGATAAAAAGGTTGTGTCTCTATTTATAGGTAAGAGAGCAAATTTTTTTTGAATTAACTTATAATTCCACTCACTTAATAAAACTATGACGATAATAATACTAGAGAAATATAATTCTTGGTTGTATAACCCTTCCGCCACATAGGCGACCTTCGCGTCCTCTAGGTCCTACGCAAGCTCGCATCGGGGATCCGCTGCGAGTCTTCATCAATAACCACTGGCTCTTGGTTTGCTTCTTTTTGTGCTTCAACTATCGTATCCTCCACGGGCATTGTCGTATTAGAATGTTGGTAGCTTGTTGACTGTGAAGTGTCTTGTTTCCACCTAATTGTTACTTTGGCGATTGAATCAATGCTAACTATACAAATTTAGGCGATGAGGCCTTGAGTGTGACAATCATGGTCTGTTAGAGTGCTTGGAGTAATAGGATTGAAAAATGTTATAGAATATAATGTGAAGGCCAACTTCACAGATTGTGAACGCTGCCATATCATCTCTTTTCTTGGTAATTGACAAAATGTTATGTGTAGTAGTGAGCACACACATGAAGGAGTTGAAGGCGGGGTTCAACGTTTGCAAAGACCAAGTGCTTGTCGTTTTAAACTAAACACTGATGTTTCTCCCTCACATAGTAATCCTTGTTGGGGTTTGGGCTATGTTATTCGAGATTGCTTTGGGGCTTTTGTTGCGACAATGGCACTTCATTGGGCTATCAGGTTGTGTCCGAAGGAGGCTAAGGCAATGAGCATGAGGAAAACTTTGAGTTGGTTTAAGGAACTTGAGTTGGACGACATCGATGTTGAGACAAATGCAAGATGCTCAATTGGTTATTTTTGCTCTTGAGTCTAATTCTTTTAATTCGATTTGTGGTTTTTATTATGTTTGATATTAAAGAAGCTAATTTATCTTTTAATAGTATGAGCTTTAGATTTACTAAGAGATGTGCAAATCATGTTATCCATCTTGTGTCACGTTAAATAATTTTTTTGCCAAACCTTATTTTCTTGTTAACTGTACTGTTGACACTTTAATATTTTGGCTAAGCTCACTCATTTTATGTTAAATGAATAATTTTCCCGACATCTAAATTTTATTATTTGTATTTTAAGGGCAAATAAAAAGAGTAGATGTAGCCAAATTTGAACTGAATATTGCAATACCTTTTAGGTCCGTTTGGTGAGTTTTTAGGTCCGTTTGGTGACTAATTAAGAAATCAAATTCAAGAGCCGGATATTACTTTAATACTCCGTATATCTGTGCAAAATAAACATTATTGGGCTACTTGTTAAAAAAACATTGGGCTTTATATTCATTGTTTTATAATAGATGGTTTGGGCGTTAATTTTCAACGTATGGGACTAAGGTGGTCAAGCCCAACTTTAATGCATTCTAACAACTGCTACACCTAGAAATATCCCTCCGTTTGATTCCACAAGCTTCCCCTCCGTCCCTGTCCTTCAATTCGACGAAATCACCGTTCTTCCATAGCCATTCATCCACAGGTATTTCTTCTCCAATCTTCGCTGCTTCAACTGCCGCTCTCATCAACTGTTTCCAATTTGTTTTTCATCATTCAGTTGTCCATATATGAGAACACAAAATCATAAGGCGGCTTAACATTACGGAATTTCTTAGATCTATGGTCAAAATACCAAATTTAAAACGCCACTCTAGTACTCTACACATATCATATTTGCCCTATACGTGTTTGTGTTGCTTTGTTTTTGTTTTTTTTGGGTTTTTAAAGTGCAAGGAGTCGCTATTACTTAAAATGTGCTTATTTTAATTGGACTAAATTCCATAAATGGTCCCTAATTATGGGTTATTTTCTATATTTAATCTCCAGTTTTAAGATAATCGATCTTTTAGGGACTATATGTGGATTGTGGAGAAATTGTTTTGTCATGTTTGGCTCAAAGGACTATTTATGGAATAATTTTCAAAAATTGAGGACAATATATGTAGTATCTTTAGAATTAGGGACTAAATATGGAAAACCACTGGTAATTAGGGACTGTTTATGAAATTTACTTTTTTAGTTGTTAATATAATATTTTACATTAAGAAATCTGATTTTTTTAATCATATTTTTTATTTTTAGGAAAAATAAGATTTTATGCTAGATTACTTGTTTGAAGAAAGTGAATATTTTTAGTTCAATTTCTGGCGTGAGAGCATATGCTGTGTTTGCTCCACTATTCTTTGGGTACTGATATATTTAAAAAAGATTGTTTTTTGGGATATCGAAAGGGCTATTATGATTGCTTACGTTAGAGACTTGGGGGTTTGCAGGAAAAGATTGAGAACTTATCTCTAGTTCTCCACTACAACACGTGCCTCTAAAAATTAAAGCAAACTTTAAAAACTGACAAATACTTTACTTGTTGTGCCGAGATTGATTGTACAAAGTAAAGATTGTATTGTTTTGCGGAGATAGGAAAATTACTAGCCATATAATTTTTGCTTTAAACACAAACATGATTACAAACCAAGTCATACCCAAAAATAAAACAAACACAACAAATTGGGATGGAAATATCATTTTCTTCTGTCAGTCTTGGCAAAACAATTTGCATTATTGTATTTTTTACATTCCGAAATATGGTTTCACGTTTGACCAGAGACAATATGAACAGTGTTATTATATAGGAAAATTAAACATTATTTTGGGACATAGAAAGGGGAAACTCTGGAACCTTTTTCCCAAGAGAGGGAGTGTACTGTGTACAGATAGATTTCTTATGTTCATGCATATTCATATGTTTTGTTTGTAATAGTTATTACTGTTTGATTTTATTGGTCAATGTTAGTAAACTTTAGTCAAATTTAATGAAAAAATACCTATAGTTATAATAAAAACTCAACAACTTTAAATTCATTTAAAATGTACTTGTGAAATATCATATTTTTATAATATTTATTATTTACCTATATGGTTATTTTTGGTCAGCTTCTATAAGGGGTCAGATTCTAGGAGTCAGGTTTTTAATAGTTATTGGTAGGAGTTTTTGGGTCCGACTGTTAGCTTATGATTCTGTTAGGGCTTAAGGGGTCTATTTTCCAGCTGGCTCTCTTGGTTTTTGGGTACTTTTTGGTCAAGGTTTTCAATTTTTTGTTCTTAGTGAGTAGGTTAGCAGCGGGTGGCTGTTCTACGGGAGACAACGGAATTCTGTCAGAGATAAGTCTGTGGGATGTGGGAACTATGACAGTGAGTTATTTTTAGGACGTTTTTCAAAACAGCGATGAATTAGAGGAGGTGGTGATAGCCTGTGACAGTTTCAGACAACTTTTTTTTTTTGCAAAAAGTAAGACTTGAGATTATCGAATGGATATTATCTAGGATTAAGACTTTGCTCTAGTTATGTTTACACTTGATTGGGAGCTCGTTTGGTGATCATCTGCAAGAGAGGGCAGACATCAGCAGTCAGAGGTTAGAGTGATCATTTCAATTCAAATTGTTTTCTGCAGCAGCTAAATCTTCTTCTGTGGTTGGGCAGCTCATTGCTAGGGTTTTTCTTTTGGTTGCTCTATGGGTGAGAAGCAATTAAGCAAACACACATCTGGATTATTCAGTTTTTCTTAAAACGCTGAAGAAAAACAAGCACGTCCTGGGGAATCATCAACCTAGCGCTATTGGGGAAAGAGTAGCGAGTCAAGGAATGACACTAGTTGTCAGCACTGGTGGTCACATTCTTCAAACTGTGAGAGAAGTTGCCGGAAAAATTAGCACTTTAGGCAATGTCCATCCGAATCCAACACAACAGCAGTGAAGGTGGACCTACAACAACAAATTGTTTGGAAGCAGCATATGAGGAGCCTGGATGTAGGATAGACTTAGTCGGTAAAGGCAGTCTCACTCTCCGTGGGGACAGTTGGACATGACTTTCTTGGTCAGAGGGGCTTTATTCCATTTGGTCTTATTTCTTTGTATTCTGAGGACAGTATCTTGGGTTCTAGATTTTCCCTTTCCTTTGTTTTGGGCTTATTCTTGTTTGCATAGTTGGGCTATAGCGTATCACTGTGTTATGGGCTTTTGAGCTGTATTCTCTATTTTCCTAATAAAAATTCTCTTTTGCAAAAAGGAAGGGTTATTAATGGTCAAAGTGTTGCATTGGAGGCCATGAATCAGTCAAATGAAAAGGTCATTTTGGAATGGAAGGCATATCATATATATACTATATTACTATGTCTCAAGAAGTCTATATTCTTGACACTTATGTGTGTCAAAAGAAAGAGTCATGTTTGATGACATGAAGTTTTCTTGTTTTAATCTCGAAAATTGGGTTACAAGAGCTTGTTGATAACCTCACCTAAATTAGTTAAGAAATTTTATAATATATACTCACGAGGTTTTGAAAGGCAAAATATAGTCTTGAGCTGTTTGAGCAAAATGCCATGAGGCTTACGCCTCAAGGAAGAAGTATAGTTATCACGGTGTCGCCTAGGCGTCCTGCCGGTGAGCTCCTCTTGCCTTGGTGTATTGCCTCTCCTTATTTCATGCTCAATATTTACTTTGCACTAAGAAGTCTTACATTGTCTTTTATTCATTTTTCATATTCTTCTTTTTTTCATATTATGGTGTGTCTATATATTTTTTTTAAGTACGTGTATTTGAATTTTTGATTAGGTTTAGAGAACTTGTATGTTTATATTTATATATTAGTGTTACTAATGTATACCAATCCTGACTTCTTATGTGTTGCCGCCTAGGTCTCTTAGACCTCTAGGTGTCATGGCGGTACACTAATGCCGCGCCTCGCCTTGGCACCGTGATAACTATGGGAGGAACAAGGTGTGAGCCTCGATTAATAAAACTAATACTATATCTTAAAAGTTAAAATACAAAAAATAAAATTATAAAAATTAAGAACACAAAACTCAAATGTCTCAACTCCATCTCCAAACTTCAAACATATGGATAGAATTTCACACAAAAATAGTTAGCCTTCCAGTATTTTATTACAAGAACAATAAAGCCTTATCCAGTTATCCCACTAGGTGGGGTCAGCTACATGGACAAACGACGCCATAGCGCCCTATCATGCAGTGAAACTCATACATTGTTTATACTCTGCGCCAATTTTAATTCTAATAACAGAACCAAACAAATTTCAACCATCATTAATATCTAAATATAGAAGCAAATTTCAGAGAAATTAAACAGAAATGAAGAGGGAGGGAGATGCTGGAAAAAAATAAAAGGAAAAGAGGAATTACAAGTTGAAAGAAAAAAAGATGACACAATTGGAATATGAAGCAATTAGAATATGCAACAATTATCTTACCACGGGAGAGAGGAGGCATGTGCTGAAGTCTTGAGAAATTATCGACTTACACTATGTTTGGTTCAAGGAATTTGAGAGGGAAAGGAAAAGAAAATGAAAAGGAAAACTTTTTTTCTTGTTTGGTTAGAGAGGAAAAGAAAAGAAAAGTGGAGGGAAAAGAAAATGAGAAAGCAAAATGTATTAAGAGGATGGAAAACCAAATTCCTCCCATTTTGGTGAGGAAACTAAATGAAAACCTTTTCTTTTCTTTTCCTTCCAAATTCCATGAACCAAACATAGTGTTAGTTTTTGAAGGCAAGGTAAATAGTGCACACATAGGCCCGATATATTATTTTTTTGTACAAAAGGCCCAACAGCTTTTTAAAATTCTCAATTTCTCATTGAAACTGAGGCTTATGCCTGGACTTGTACCTCAATATGACTGAATGGCGTAAGTCCCAAATATCTTTTCCGAGGCTTAAAGGGATAACCTTTGTGCCTCAGCACCTCAAGGCAGACCCCCTTGATCACCTCTGAAAACCATTCTCCCTCCATCCCTAAAATAAATTTATCTTTGACTTCACGGAGTTCAAAAAAAGAGTTGAAAATTAAAAAGTAGGTTGTTAGAATCTGTATAGAAGAGAGAAATATTGCGAGCTACATATTCTTTTACTTAATAGCAAATTTAAGAAGTGACTTTAATTTTGGCAACAAGTGACTTTTATTTTGGGATGGAGGGAGGATAAGACTAAAGTCTCTGCCTTAGGGAGGGAAGGTTTACGTTCACCTACTTGTGAGACTGAGACTTAACTTTGTTGTTGTATGTAAGAGCAATGATTTACAGTTACACACTTGCACTTTAAATGTTGTACCGTTCCTAAGCTAGACAAGACTTTTTTTTAGTGAGGTTGTAATACTGTACTGGTTGCTTTCTTTATCTCATGAAGGATGTGGTGGACTGCTGTCTCTTGTTGTGCAAAGTAAATGGATCTAACATACTTGTGTATCTCACTTGGTTATATTCGTTAATTTTAAAATTTCTTGGGTCTGTTATTGGCCAGGGTTATCAATGGAATACTTTCTCTGAGGCACAACTAATTCTAATTTGTATAGAGTTCTCTTGGAATTAAATTTGTGGATCGGAGTGTGTGCTATTGGAAGAAATGGAAACACAATTCGGACCGGTATTCGATAGCAGCAGGCATATCACTGTCAATTTAAAAAGAAAACACGATTTTCAATCTGAGAAGTTCAACCATGTGACTAAGCACATATCCCTTCCGACTGTCTGGCCCCCTTGTAATGGCATACACAAGGTCGTGAAGCAAAGAAAGCTCAATAATGTCAAAAGCAAGTTTGGATATGGTGGGGTTCACCACAAAACATCACTGCTTCAACACTATCTGAACTTTCGGAAAAGTGGACCTCTAAAACGCTTGATGTATTATCAAGATGGTGAGTGGATTGACTTTCCTCAAAGTATTCTTCCCGTGGTTAAAGAAGATCTGCAGATAGAGAAATCAGTAATTGAAGTAGACTTGGATGGTAAAATTTGTGTGCTTGACTTTGTCTCTATGATGCTTGTGGACTTGAGGACGGGTAATCAGCAGTCTATTGCATGGATTGATGAAGCTGGGAACTGCTTTTTCCCTGAAATTTTTGCAGATGGTGTTGGAGGGGACGAGTGCAACTGTCTGGAACATGAGAACAATCAAGTTGGTATAGATTTGAATGCCCAAGAATCCAATGTTATCAAATTGCAAATTGAGATTGAACTTAACGGATCAAATATTTATGAGCAAGAAGAATCAAGTGGGGACTCCAATGCTCTTGTTAAAGTGGTTAAAGTTGATTTGAAACCTGAAACAGAAGATTCGACGATGGAAAACGGTGATGATCAGAACGGCGTTTCTGCTTCAAAAGGCAATGGAAGCTCCGCTGAAAATTTGCCCGGAGAAGAAAAGGCATTGATGCTTGATCCAGCATGGGGTGATCTGGACTCTGATTCAGTGAGGAAAATCTTCCTCATGGGCATTAAGCAATCTGCTCATGCAAGTATAATTGATGTATCTCGTGGATCAAGCACTTTCATGGAAGCTAGATTAGAACTTTTTCAGAAGCAAGCCGAAATTGTAAAAAAGTTGCGTGGACATCCCAATGTCCAATTTGCATGGCTTCCTTCCACTAAAAGTGCACATTCCAGCATAATGAATTATGGCATTGTTAGTGGTGATTCAACCAATAAGAATTCTCGGTATGGATTCGGAGTTCATCTAAACCCTATTAATCATACTGAGATCAGGTAAGTGCTGCTTTGCCATCTTCATTATTTGTTGGCTGAATTCATCAAAATTTTAAATAAAGTTATTTGGGTCATATTTTTCCATCATCTCCGATGGAGCCAAAATTTCACCATTTTTTGGCTTTGGGGTGTGATGGAATAAATCAAAATGGATCTGTAAACTGTCTGCGCTTCTTTAATTAATGAAGTAGCAGTTAGTCAAGCAATGCAACTTTTGACGTTGAGCCGGGGGTCTCTTTGGAAACAGCCTCTCTACTTTCGAGTAGGGGTAAGGTCTGCGTACACACATCCTCCCCAGACCCTACTCTTGTGGGATTTAACTGGGTTGTTGTTGTTGTTTGTTTATTTGGGTCATATTTTCTTAGTTACATTACAATGGATAAAGATTATTGTCTTACAAGGCTTCTCTTACCCGTTGTTTTTTCCATGAGCTTAAACTAGAACTAGCATACTTAAATGGACAGACGAGACAGATGTCTAAACATAACACTATTGGAGTAATCTTATTTTTGTGACAACTGTTTTAGTGTTTCTTACCCAAAAGATATGATTTTGTCGTAACCAAGCCCCCACCCACAGACCCCATCCCTTTGCCAGAGATTCTTTAACCTTTTGTGCATTTCATTCATACATCCAGGCAAGCTGTAAAGTTGTATTTAGTCTCTGGTATTTTTTGAATAAGTGCTACTGTATAATGTATATAGCTGATGTCTTTATGCACCATGCCACTATATATAGTTATTCTCGCATACTTTCTATGATTGGTTGCAGAGTGGTCTTTATGTTTTATAAATGGTACGGGGTTCATCTTTGTTGTCAAGACATTTTAATTATAGTCAATTAGTCATAATGTTTTTTGACATTCCTATCAAAGTTTACTCAAGTGTGAATACTGTTGAATCCTCCGGTTGATACGTTCAGAATATGATAAAATTGGTATTTTAGCGATTCTTTTTATTAGTTTCTCTTATTTCTGTATTGAGTTGTTGATTTTTTTCCTAGTGCAAATTTATGTGATATTGACGAAAATGGGGTGCGACACATGATTTTGTGCCGAGTCATTATGGGGAACGTGGAGCCAGTTTCTCTTGGATCAAAGCAATTCCATCCCAGTAATGAGGCTTTTGATAATGGTGTAGATGAGCTTCAAGGCCCAAAACATTTCATAGTATGGAGTATGAATATGAACACCCATATTTATCCAGAATATGTTGTTAGTTTCAAGTTTGAAGCTGAAGGTGATAGTTTCACTCTCTTTGTGATTTTTCCATGTCCAATTTGCTCACACACACTCCAGAAAGACCTTGCACATAGTTTGATCTTAATCATTGTAAAAGTCGTAAGGCAGAATTCTATGATGTTTCAATAGCGTTTTTTAAAAATAAACTTTAGTTGTGCCTCCAATAAGTTCGCATCAGCATTTCCAGAAGTTGAGTGGCGAAGCTAAACTGTTTTGATAATTAATTTTTTTATGTATTAGAGCTCATATATGGGAGTTTTTGTTGTGGTGTGCAACACTGCAACCCTAAATTATGTTAGATTAAATTCTGAATGATATGAAGTGTTGGAAGAGATGCCTTATTGGTTATAGAAAATCATGAAAAGAATACACACCTGAACTCACTTGTAATTTTTATCATAGGAACTGTGGTTCAAAGTGACAAGATGCACAATTTTTCAGGGGTTAGTACTTGTTACGAGGGGTCTCCATATCAGGTACGCTCATACTCATTCGTGCAACAGGCTTGGTGAGTCCTCAAACTATAGAGAGGTTTTAAAATTTTATTTTATTGGGTGTGATTTCCCCCCGTTTTGCTATCATACCAAGTAGGATTTCTATTGTATCAGGACATTAGAGATAGTTTAACTATCAATCAAGGTTGTAGATGATGAAACAATCAGTTTAGGACAGAAATGACAGAAAACTATTAATCAGGTTAAGAAAGTCACAATATTTCTTCATGGATTATGCATGAAATTGAGTCAAGAAGTCACTAAAAAGTACTTGTAAAACTAAAAAGAATTCAATATCTGATTTTTAGTCTTGGATTGATAGTTTCTATCATTCAACTCCTAAATTAGTAGATTTCATCTTACAGACCCTGAATTCAATTGATAGTCCTGAATCAGTAAAACTTGGAAGAATGAATACTTGGATGATGTAGGGTACTAATATGAAAGTAGAATAATGACATCTACAAGTTCACCCCCTTCCTTCCCGAACACACACACACTGACACACACACGCATCCATTCTGCTGGATTCCTGGATGTAATATGAATGGCGAGGATAGTTCTTGTGCTTGTCTTGTGGGTCTTTGATCAGTGAATCTTTATGACTGTTATGCTTATATTGTGGCTGCTGCTTTACAAAGAATGATGCCTTTGGTGTAAATTGATTGATGGTTTTTATTTAGTTCTTGGGAGAACTTTTTTTGTGACAAATGTATTATGAGCCTCATATATGGAAAAATTATTCTTCAACACAGTAAAACTGGAATTTTAATTTTTAAGGTTATACTCCGTATGGTTCTTGGTTGGCTTCTGCATCTGATTCTTTACTCAGAGAAACATATTTTCATTTTAACTAAGACCTTCCCTTTTTTGACTCTCCTAAAAGTTTTAGATAGTGCTACAGCAAGCAAACATAGCATTTCTAGATTTCTGTACTTAAAGTAGCATTTGACCTTGATGCCATTTGTTTTTTAATGTTGGCATTTTCTTCATTATCTTTTTTGAATTCATCGCCTTCTGCATGGAGCCCCTGAGACTGAATTAACCAATTTCATCAAAGACTCAAATTTAAGGCTTTCTGGCTTTGAAGGTAGTTTGCCATACATAAGTTCAGTGAAATTGAATTATAGATAGGCTATTTGCATTCTTATTTATTTAATGATCTTTTGCGAGGCGTTTTAGTCATTTTCTGGTCTGGTTTAGACATTGAATCTACTCTGATGCATTAGCTGTGTGTTTAATTCCTGTGATGCAAAAAAAAACCCTCCCACAACGGTAACCAGGTTTTTTGAAGCTCATCTCAGGTAACAACGCCCAATACAAATTTACTCCAAAATCAACAAGGAAATGTTCCAAGGATCCCCAAGTCCCCTTGGATGTCGTTCCCTGCATTGTTTGCTGCCATCTCTAAGAAAGTTGCTCCTGAGAAAATGAAAATTATAAATAGCAACTACGAGCTTTTCAAGGTTTGTGCATGGAATTAAAATAGAATCACATTTTGGCTCCACCCATAATCTTTTTTTTGGGAGGAGGGGTCTTCATTAAAAAAGTATTAATCTTTTTGCTTTTGCCATGATCTATGCCTGCATTGTCTTCCTTCCATGGTATTATTATCAGAGTAAAAAGATTAGTCGGGATGAACTGGTCAGAAAGATGAGGTTGTCCGTCGGCGATGCCATATTAAGGTCCACGATTATGAGTCTTCAGTTCAAGGTGAGATTTATATCTTATAGTAATAAGAGTGTTTTCATTCTTTATCAAATTCAGAATCAAGTAACACCATGGCAATACGATTGATGTTACAATACGAAAAACTATTTTTTGTAGTGTGTGATGACTTAAACGCCGATTGCTTTGGATTTCTTAAACTATTCTAAGGTTTACCTTGATAAGATTTTTACTATTTTGACTATATGGTCAACAATTTAAACACTTAAATAATACAAAGTATCACATTAAGTGAAACATATAACCATCTGGTGATCATTTGTCACATTTGAGATGGTAATTGTATTACTTAAAGTTATCTTGCATCCCTTGAACCGACCAAATGCTCCTTTAGTTGTTTGCTGGTCACCATAACAGAAACATACTTTTTTCTATTGATTGATTCACTTGTATTAGTAATGGGGATCTTTTGGTCCTTTTGTACGACGCTATATTTTTCCAAGCTTCTCTCTTTCTTTTTGGCAAATTCCTCGTTTCAAGGGACGCTGACCGTTGATACTATATTTATCTATCTTGCTTTATGACAGATGGTCCCAACACCTGTTGAAATGGTCACAAACCAAAACTTAGAGCCCTGAAGTTTTGGCCTCTAAACAAAGAGNGTCTTCACGTAATGGTTTCTTAAGTTGAACTATTTTCTACAGTTAAATAAAGAGATACTCCGTACTAATCTCAATATGCTCCTAAACCAATTAGTGTGATGCTTGAAAACTTAGATTTAATTTGAGTTCTTAGATTTTATATTCTGAAATTTAATTTTTGAATTTTAAATTGCAATTGTGTGTGAATTTAAAATTGAGTATTGTTGGGAAGTAGAGAAATTTGGTCTAAATTTATTTCCAATTTTTTTGGATGTTTGAAGATATAATTTATGTCAAATTTAAATTCATATTTTCAAACATGGCATAAGTTCATTTAGGTAAATTGGGTTAATTCGATTTAGTTCAAATAAGTGTACTTGGTAAGGCGCGTTTGACAATGGTATCCAATGTTATATTATGAAATTGGATACCCTGACATTCTATTCATAAAAGTGGTGGTTCTTATTTTGAATCTTTTAAAGTCCTTTGCCCCATTGTCTCTCATTACCCTACGTTGCCCCCCTCGGACCCAATTGGTTATGAGTGGTGAGCATGGTACAGTATAATAAGATATTTAATTAATGTTGATATTGTAAAAAAATGTTTTAATTTTGTATGAAATTTTTTGTCGCATCGATTATGAATTATGGGTTTATATCGTATAAACGGGGATGAAGATTATGTAGCTAGCAAATGTGCATATATACTCTATTTAATTATAGACATGCTTTGATAAAATTTTAAAATAAACGAATGTAGTTTTTTTTGAGAGGATGTGAAAATAAAGAGTGAAAATAAAGAGTGTTATTTTTCAAATGTCCATGCATGAACTAGAGAGCAGGGAGTATAGACCCACTCAATCTTTGGTCCAAAGACTGAAACCAGTAGATAAAAAATAGGAGGTTTAGTAACAACATATATATGTTCCGAGTCACATGCATGTTCTTTGATGGTTGAAAACTAAACAGAAAAACAAACACATACCAATCGAGAGAGAGAGAGAGTATATTATCGACTACATACAAGACGAGACGAATTCCAGTAATACCCTCTTGAATACTCAATGACATTTATAAACGTCCGAAACATCGTCCTATAATTGCCATTGAGCCCCGGTGTTAAATCAAAACACCTCCTCATGCACTCAAACCCTCTTACCATTTTACCATGTAGCTGGTAATGCGAAGCCAGCACAAACCATATTTCTGCAACCTGACTCCTTTTTTCTCTTGTCCAAGCTTCGGCTATTGCCTCTGCTTCCATAAAGAAACACTTTTTGCAGTATCCCTCAATGATCAACTTAAGGATGTTCAGATGATCAGCACTAGTACGCCGATTGTCACATCTTTCCCACTCTATCACCATCTTCCTGGCATCATTTAGCCTGCCCGACTCCACAAGTGACTTGATATTCTCATAATCCACCATATGGGTTGTTGGATTGACTTCTAAGAACATGGCGCCTGCAGTGGCAGGTTGAACTGATCTAGTGCAGCGCAGGGGAAAGAATGATCCACATTCTTCTTCTAGGTATTTGAAAAACAACATCGGAACCACTAGGTGAACTTCAAAATCGTTACCAGTTACCCAAAAGCAGTTAAATGCTTGGATCACATTACCCACTTTAAGATATTCTTTGCAGAGTAAGCTTGAAAGTTTGTCAACGCCCGGCTTCCCTTTTCTACCCCACACCTCAATTTTATTAAATGCTTCTCGTAATTTACCATTTTTGACATACTCTTCAATAATTGTGTATGGGATGCCAATTCCATCCAAATTGCACCAATTACCTGATGCTTCCCACTCAGTCATGAACTTCACAGCCTCATCTAACTCTCCAAGCTTCACCAGCGACTTTATCACATCTCCATAATCTAGCAGATAATTGGGTCTTTTTCTTCTAATATCCTTCTGTAAAATCACCCTCGCCTTTTCAAGAGCATCGGTGGCCTTATCTAGAAGAAATTCTCTATCATACAACTCGGCTACCATGGCGTACGTGCACCAGTCCATGACGATGTGGGGTTGACTCTCCATCTCTCTCAGCATTATCTCCACCCCATCCAGATCACCTTTTATCCCCAATGAACTAATGCACATTCTGTAACTATCATTATCAGGCAAAACTTTGCTCCTCTTCATCTCGGCCATCACCCAAGGGATCTCGTTAATTTGGTAACTTTCAGCACAAATGTGCATGGTTTCATTGAAAAGGAGCGGTGACAACGCAAAACCCAACTCTTTCATCTTCTGAAGATGCCATAAAGGACTCTTCCATGTACCTATGTTTTCATGCACAGAACAATGAAGGATTTCTCTACATGTCTTGCAATTTCTAGCTTGTTTTGGCAAGTTCCTGACATAGCGCTCCGAAGCAGAACATCCTCGCACCTTATATATCAAGTTGAACTGGACAGCATAGTCACTAGACGAAAATTTATATACACCTTTCTTTCTCATCCATTCATAAACCTGCAACAGACAGCAAAAGCAAAATGCTATCAGAAGATATTTTAATGGAATCGGACTATGATTTCAACTAGAACGCATTCCATCTAATTCTGATAAGCGTGCGAGAAATTCACATTGACCATCACCCACCTGAGACTAGATTCAAACCTGAATATCAAGTTAACATGCAATAAAATATTAGTCCTGTCTCATTTCGCACAATCGCCCTCAATTTACTGCACAGGAAGGTGACTCAAAAGCTTTGAAACAAAAAAAAAAATCAATATGTCCCATTCAAAATTGAAATCGTAGTCAAATTTGGAGGCAAACATGATACTAACTACTCTAGAATAAATTAAACCCTACAGAAAGTTTTACTTCTCGTGTCAAAGTAAAAAGTGCAACAATACTGAAAACTTACAGAACAATTTGTGTCAATTTAATCTTTGATGGGGTGCTGATTACGAGAAAGTCTTGTCTATCCTAGATATAAAAAAATTACTAATTTTTTTTTAAATTAATTCCCAAGAACAACTTAATACTATATATGTTCATGGAGTTGCAATCTTACACCACCCCAGGTGGTGTAAGATCGTGACACCGGTTAGATTGGGACACATACGGTGTGGCGTTCGTAAAATTGATAATTCCTACCCCTCATAATACCCCTCACAGACCTCCACCATGACCTCGTCCAGCCTAGCCCCAGACATTATTTTGACCAAGATGTCAACCACAGTTATACGGTGCAATTGCATGGGCTAGGATTGTCATGACTCGTGAGGTGGCAAGTTCAGGGGCGGGAGATTATGAGGAGAGTTATAAAGGGTAGCAACTGTAAATTTTACGAAAGGAGCACCATAGGTCCCCCAACTTAAGATCGTGACACAAGTTAAATTAGGGCATGTGATGCTACTTTCATAAAATTAACAGTTCCTAGCTCATGCCCACCCCCACCCGGATTGCCAATTTGGGACAATTTAGGTTGGGAGGGGGGGGGGTAGAGATGGAGTGGGCAGGAGCAGAAAAATATGGAGAAAATGTTTAAGGGGTGGCTAAGAGGGGTTAGAACACTTAATTTTACGTCGGAGCCCCGTAGGTTCCCCAATTGAACAGGTATTTTTTATATATATACACACACACACACACACACATATACACACACACACATATACGGAAAGGATCTTTTGACATTGGAACCTCGGGTTATATTATGCCTCAGGGCACCTACGGTGCTCCGCTCGTAGAATTGATGGTTTCTACCCCCTAACCCATCTTCCCATTTCGCCAATTGGCTACAGTACTTTGATAACTGCCCCCCACCACTGCACCCATCCTCCTGAACATACATACATACATACATGTTTCTTTTCCATGTAGGGATGTAAACAAATCAAATATTTTAAATTTGATTCGTGATTCGTAAGATAGTCCTTCGTAAATAATGTTACCCAATGAATGTTACCCAATGATGATTAATTGGGAGATATTTTGGTATTTTGACCATCCAAATTTAAATTAGACTTTCAAAACAGTCATTTTTGTACAACTAAATGTAAAATTTAAAAAATACATTGACCATAAATAATATTTGAATTATTTAAAACATATGAAAAATCTTTTTAATTTCAAATCAAATACACATCTTTAATTAGAAAAGCCATTTTGGGAATGCAATTCATTATAAATGATCATTTTAAGAATTAATTCTAAATTTAGCGGATAAAAATGTCAAAATACCCTTAATTAATCCTTATTGGAAATAAATCTCAATTATAGAGGACCACGTAGGTAATTAAAACTTATTGAGAACTGATCTAGGAAAACACAAGACTATTTTGGGAATTTACTCTTAAAAAAATAATGCATAATTTCATTTAAAAAAAATACAAAATGTTAGCCCTAATTGAACAGGCAGGCTTGTCCCTAATTAAACCCAGCAGCAGCAGCATCGACATTAAATCAGATATTAGGGTGTGTACCTGTAGAGCATGATAGAACCGCCCATCCTTGCGAAGTTTGAGTAGGATCCTCTTGAGGTTGCCGGCCGGAGCCTTTTTCTTCTGATCCTTAACCCAATTGTCTACATTGATTTGACATAGACCTTGGGACTCGAAGGACGAGTAATCTGCGCCAACAAGCTCTTCCTCGGTTTCATTGGACCGGAGATAATGTTTGTGTGGCCGTGGCGATCCCATCCCCATTGCGACGGCAAACGCAGCCCTAATCCCCCCAATCGATTCCGTCCACAGTAAGATATGGAACCCATCGTCATCAATTGGATGGAATTTTTCGGCGGCGGATCCTTCCGGTGGGGTGGTGTGGTGCCGTTAATTTATTTGGGTATTACTCCTTATATTATTGGCCCAAATATATTACTCTGTCCCGATTTTAAGTTCTCACTCTACTCTTTTCTTCGTCCGGAAATTAAGTTTCCAGTATACGTTTTCTAACCCACTTTTCCTAAACTACCCCTCTCATTAAATCACTCTTCTCGCCCAATCCTCCTACCCGCATTCATTATACCCTCCTGCTTTAACTCGCACCTCCTCTCCTTCCCAGACCCATTCCGCCCAATTCTTTCTCCCTAATAGTAAACAAGCCCGGTCCAATTTAAATCGCCTATTTTGACTTTTGGGCATATTTAAGGAAAATAAAAAATAGAGTTGATTTTTTGAAATTGACATTACTTTTTAGGAGGGGTGATGATGAATGAGAAGATAAAGTGAAGAAGATCGACTTATTTTAGGGTAATTTAGGTATTTTATTTTTAAAAATTTACGAAAACAACTAACAGACAACTTATTTTGGGACGAAGAGAAAAGGCAAATAGGAAATTTAAAATGGAACGAAGGGAGTACATTTTTAGGCAAAGAAATCTTTTCTACTAATTTTTTATATGAAAATTAACATAAGAGAAATAAAGAACAAAATTACATATAGCATTATAATTATAGTAACGTAATAGCTACTTGTTAAATTTGGGAGTATTATCTCAAAATAAAAAAAATGATGTAGTAATAAATTCAAGTTTTTTAATTTTAATTTCTGTCATATACTCCATATATCCCAAATTAACCCTCCTTATTTCTTTTTTTGGACTGTCTCAAATTATTTTTTTTATTTTCTTTTTTTGGAAGGCTATTTGGGCTTAGCTTTTTTATTCCTCTGCATCACTTTCAACCATACATTTTTACTTTTCTTAAATTTCGTGAAAAGTCAAATTAGAAGTATTAAATTGAGACGGAGGGAGTACAAATTTTCTTGAAATCTTTAGGTTCATACTCATATTTCATGTACTTCACTATATGGACAACACAAAAACTTAATTTCTAGAAATTATTTTCTTAAAAGTTTGTCATTAAATTTCTTTAATTTATTAAATATATGTTCTTTAGCTTTGATTATGTTATGTACAAATGTCTTTTGATGTTCTCCATGTCCTTTGTTTTTCCCCTTTGTAGGCCTATATATAGAGACTCCATATGTAGAAATGGAACATCCTTCTTTTTAGCCTCTCATTGCATTTCTTCTCCTTTAATTCTCCATTGCACTTTGATCTTTCATTTGTGTTATCAAGGTATATCTCTATCATTCGTTCATAACAATATTTTTATTATCTTTATTTTTAACACGTTATCAGCACGATAGCAAAAAAAAGATTCTAATTATATAGAAATTACTCCCCTTCATCTCTTGTCCTTTTTGATATTCATGTTATAGATATATACATATACATATACACTTATTTATTTTAGTTTTTTAGTGAACTTGAAGCTATATTAAACCTGAAGGTTATATGATAAAACTCAACCTGAAGTTTGAGTACATATTATGTCGGAAAAATTTCATTTCTTTAGTTTTTTTCCTCTTTTGGCTAGTGAACTTGAAGTTCATATTCTGATTTCATATGCTCGAAGCATTAAGAGTGAAACTCAAACCTCAAGATTTGAGTATGCCAATTGACTATATATGTGACATTATTATTTACTATGCAACAAAGAAATAATAATAATAATAATAATAATAATAATAATAATAATAATAATAATAATAATAATAATAATAATAATGTTAATATTATAGACTTATCATCTGTGATTATGTAATGTGCTCGAATTTATCATTATGTCCATAGTTTTGCTCTAATTGTAACCTCCGCTATAATAATAATAATAATAATAATAATAATAATAATAGTAATAATAATAATAATAATACATAATAAATAATAATAATTGAGACCCTTCAAGTACCTAAGCCGTTTTTTATAAAAAAAACGTATTATTCAATCAATACATATTAATTTATTTATTTTTCACAATAATAAAAAAACTTAATCTACTAATTTGATATATGTGTATATGTGCGTTTTTAAAAAAATGGACAATTAGAATTATTTGATAAATAAATTTGTCTTGTCTAGTGCAATTTACATATACATTTGTTTTTTTTCAACTAGTAGATTCTGGTAATGAATTGCAAAATAAAAAATGTCAACATGAAATATATGACTAAAGGTTAGGATCAACGAGCCCACATGGTTCTAAATGATAACAATTTATAATTTATTTTCAGTTATGTGTAACCTCACCAAGCTTGAATTTGCTGCCCTTTACATTTCCGGAAAGAACTATTTGACATGGGTTCTTGATGTTAAGATTCATTTGAATGCAATGAACCTTGGAAATGCTATTAAGGAAAATGGTGGGGCTAGCGAACAAGAAAAAGCAAAGGCAATGATTTTCATACGTCATCATCTTCATGAAGGCCTGAAGTCTGAATATATTGAGGTCAAAGACCCTGCGACTATTTGGAGTGACTTGGAAGAGAGATACAACCATCTAAAAAGTGTGATACTTCTAAAGGCTCGTTATGATTGGATGCAACTGAGGTTGCAAAATTTCAAAATGGTAAACGAGTATAATTCTGCCATGTTTAGGATTGTATATCAATTAAGGTTGTGTGGAGACACCGTCACTAATGCTGATATGTTGGAGAAAACATTTACTACCTTTCACGCCTCTAACATGCTCTTACAGCAACAGTATCGAGAAAAAGGATTTACTAAGTATTCCCAACTTATCTCTTGTTACGTTCGTAGAAGCGTTACAGTTGATCTATTTGGAATATATGTGAAACATGCTTTGTTGTGTCGTTTACACTTCAAAAAAACATGGTTTGATTTAGAATTGTTAAGAGTTCGTTAGAAAATGTTTGATTGATGATTTAGAACCTGTTTAAGCTTGTTTTCTCTGGAATTGATGTTGTTTGGTGGGTTAAAACAGAGTTGGTTCAAATCTAGTGTTCGCCGTGACAGATGGTAGGTAGGTACCGTTGACACGGTACCTGGCTACCGCTAGCTACTCCGTTTTCACCTCGCTTTGTCGGTACCTGTCACCAAATGGTACCAGGTACCAGATGGGCGGTAGGCCCTACCGTCGGGTCAGTACCCACGTACCGTGGGGGACGGTACCCTGGTACCGTGGAGTCGATAACACCTACCGCCAAGGGTACCGTGAGGTACGTGAACTGGTCTAAAATTTCTATTCTGTCGAGGATCAATTCCGAGAATTTGTGTGTTGCATGAGGTAAACATGGGTGTCAATACCCCGGAGTTAGGCCGCTGTTTGAGTATGTTGGATGTGATGAATGATGTTGTATGATGCATGGGCATGTATGTTGTGAATTATTGATAATTAAAGGATGAAATACCTAGGATGAACTCTAGGAGCTGACCTGAATGGATTAGTGGCAAGCATGCCATAAGTATAGTAAGTTTGACACATATGGTACCTGATGGGTCCAATGGCTGTTCCGGTAAAAACGTGTACACGGGGATTTAAGAACTGTCGTTCTGGAGGGGACATGGATCTCACCCACCTAACGAGGAACTTCCGAGTTGGCTTGAGCTTGAACTTCGTTCCGAAGGGGAAGGTCATGACTCTCATAGGCAAGTCGTATACACTTAAGCTTTAACCTCGCATAGGTTAAGAGCCGAATACAGAAAGGAAGTAAAGTAAGCAAAGAAGAAAGTATCCGTTATTATATCTTGTATATTGTATCTCTTGTATGATGATATTACTGCATCATGTTATATCCTGTATGATGTTATGATTATGTTGAGCATGATTGTGTGCATGATATCGTATGAGGATACGAGCTAGTGGGATCATCTATGGGTATAGCTATATGTTAGATATTTCTCACTTAGCTTCAATGCTGAGTGTGTAACCTTTTTTCATATTTGCTACACGTAGATAATCTAGGAAATAATGAAGTTGGAACCAATCATGGAGGGCGATGAGGAGGCTAAGATGTGCGTGGTGTTGTTCGATGACTTTGAACTCTTATTTATTATTTAAATAACTTATTACTATTTCGGGCATGATTCCCAAAGTGTGTTTTGAATTATGAATTAAGCTTCTGCAACTGTTTTGATTATTACTCCGATTGATATTGAATTATGTTTTGAAATGTTATTGAAATTGTTTTGAAAAGTTAAAGGGTGTTTGGATACCAATTTGGTAGCAACCCTGTTCGCGGATCCGAGTATTTGGGTCATGCGGGTTGGGGTGTTACAATTTGGTATCAGAATATATGGTTTTAAAACCGATCTTCGGATCACAAACAGATGGAGTCTAAAAGTTGTACCACTTATCTTGCGACTCATCAGCCCCGGGTAGATAATAAGTTTATAACTTTTATCGTTATGTGCTAATGACTGATTAAGGATTTATGTGTGTAATTTAGAATGAGTAACGCATCGACGCACGCTCATGACAACACCCAGCATCTGGGTGATGACCACAACGATAGGGTGCCGAGACGGAGGCATTTAGCTTCGTGCCTCAGCAAAACGCTGGGCAGCCTAATGTGCTGCTGAACGCGGGGGACAACCAGAATTTCGGGAACTCGCCTGAGAATGCCATGCCTGCTTTCATGGCCCAATTCTTGCAGCAGAGGGCGAACGCGTCGATGTTTCAGCAGGTGGCTGGGGTGCTCAATGATCTGAATGTGCTCGTTGTAGACCATCCTAAGCTGGCGTCTCAACTGCTCCGCAAGGGAGCGTACGAATGGTGGAAGTGTACCAACAGTGAGCCACAGACACCGAAGCCATGGACGTGGGCCTACTTCGATTGGGCCTTCAAGAAGGAATACATCCCAGCCCGTTTCCGAGAGGAGAAACACACAGAATTTATAGAGCTGCGACAAGGGGACATGATCTGTAACGTCCCAAAACTTGGCTTGTTATTTTTAATTAATTTATATAATTAATTAATTACTGAGTTGGGGGTCGGTGATTTATCTGTGTTATACTGTGTTCCCTTCCATATTTTTGTGCATGTGGAGCCGGGGGGCTCTTGGAAACAGCCTCCCTACTTTCGAGTAGGGGCAAGGTCTGCGTACACACACCCTCCCAGACCATACTGTTGTGGGATTCACCTGGGTTGTTGTTGTTGTTGTTGTTGTTGTTACTGAGTCGGTCAATACGAAGATTATTTTTTAATTTGTGCATCTAATATGGGAGTTGACCTACATTATAAGACTCGCTGTTCTGAACACGACCCCATAAATGGATTGAGAATCGGACTTACTAGGCCGAAGATACGACTGCCGAATAAGGTAATTGGGCTTTAATCTGTCCTAACGGGTTAAAAAGTGTAAACTGGACCCTAAATTCTATTTAATACTCCCTTCGTCCATGGAAGAAGATCTCTTTCGTTTTTTCTTTGTCTCACAAAGATGTTATCTTTTCTATTAAAAAATCACTTTACCCCTTACTTTTTCATAGCATACCTATCATATCATATTTTATCCACTACATCTTATTTTTATCCATAACATCAAAAATATTTTTAAAAATCAACACCAAAATATGATTACCTTAATTTCAGAAAAAGTTGGAGTGAGGATCTCTCTCTTTTCCGGTTCGTTTTCAGCTGCGTCTCCACTGCTCGAATTCCGCTCGTCGTTCCGCCAACCAGAGACAGCCGCCGTCGCCGAGCCGCCAGGAAGCCGCTGTCTCCGACCGTCGTCGCATCCTTGTCCCCGTCGCGCAACAGACCGGCGGTCCACCAGGGGGTTGCAGCGGCGAGTTCCCCCTCCCCCAATCCAGTTTCAATTCTTCAAATTCGAGGTGATTCGTTGTCCAAATATCTTCAGTTAGCGTTAATTTGTAGATTAGGATCTTGTTTGTATAATTCTTGCGTTTGATTGTGAGATTGTTGGATGAATTTGTGTTGAATTGATTGGGGAATTGAATTTGGGGATTTGGGGATTTGGGGCTGTTTTTCCGGCGATCCGCCGTTGCTTGGACGGCGGTGGCAGAGACCGGCGTGCTGGGCAGACCGAGCGGGTCCAATTGGGACCCAATTGGTCTGAATTTGACCTAATTGGTTCAATTGTGTCCATTCGGATCCAATTGGGTGGCTTCTTGTGCAATTGGGTTCAAATGGGTTTAATTGGGTCTGTCCGGGTTTCAATTGGGTCAATTTGAATGTAATTGGGTTGATTTGAGTTCAAATGGGTGCAATTGGATTGATTTGGGGTCAATTGGATGGATTTGGCCGGTTGGTGGTTGCCGGGCAACTGTTGGGCTGTTTGGGGCCGGCTGCCAGTGGCGGAGGTAGGGCTTCCGGGCGGTGGGCAGCCGCCGGGAGGGTTTCTTGGGAGAGTTTTATGACACCAAACGCCTGAACCCAACATATTTTGGGGTTAAAATGATGATTATGATGTCAAAATAAAGGATAAGAAATGATTTGAAGTTAGTATAAATGTGATTTATATTAATTGTAGTTTTTGCTTACCCAGCAAACATGTAATCAAAGAAGATATGATATAGAGCTTAGTTGTTGATCTTTGGTTATTTTGAATTGCAATCTAAGTTGTTTCTATGCCCAACTGTGTTAGTCCTTTTCCCTAAACTGTCTTTTTTCCTCTTCTTCTTCATCAGTGGACGATCAAACTGCTTCTTAGTTAAGGAGAATGCTCATTGGGTTTTAGATCTCATATGATGAACACCATATCATTTCCATTCAAGGTATTATAACATTCTTGACTAGTTGAACCCCTGGTAATTAAATATTTTATTGTTCAGGTTAGTTATAGGGATCTGCATGCGTAATGATCATACTACTCATGTGATGACAATTTTCCCACTGCATAAATCATCAACTTCATGATATCCTCAATTTATGTTAGGCAAGGTGCTCCAAAATAGTCTAGGGTCTTTAAAGTAACCGCCACTCTACCTTTATAGGTATGGGTGAGTCTGCTTACATCCATCCCCCTTAGACCCCATTCCTTGTCGTTGTCCAAGTGAGTCTAAAGATGGCAAGCTGTTACTCTTTACATGTATCAGTTAACTATTTTTCTTAAGAAGTTAAGATGCATATTTCATTGGTCCAGAGGTGCTAAATACTATGCTCAAAACACCAATAGGTGTTCTATATTTTCACTGCAGTAGAAATTTAACATTTGTGATTTCAAAAAAAATAAATATAAAAAAGAAATTTAACATTTGTCATGATTCCTGAGTTCCTGGAAATTGTTAATTCTTGAAAACAATAAGTATTTTATTTGTAACATTATTAGCATGTGTAGGGGTAGGACTCTGGGAGGTGATAAGAAGATATTATTAGGGATTTTTTTGATAATGGATATTCTAAGTTGATACTTGATATCAATAGATATAACAGTCTCTGAGCTCAACTTACAGCTAGTAATCTATATTTAGTAGTTGCATGAAAATTAATTAAATTATCACAATTTAAGTGTTGAAATAGACTTTCTAATAAACACACTTATATAACCAACTTAAGGATCAAATTAAGATAGGCTGAACAAGTGAGCTAACGCCGTGTATATATAGGCCTCCATAATATATGGTGTTTGCTATTTATTGAATGGAGAAAATGAGAAATGACACGGGTAATTGGAGCATAAGTCACGGCACACACTGCCATGTTTAGGAGAGTTGTCTCTAGGACATTCTTTCTTAACTCAAGGGTCTTTGTCTTCATTGTGCTCTTTTTCCTAATGTGGAGTTTGGACAGGATTTTTTTAGGAAGCTTCACGTGGAGTTTAACAACGGGAGATGATAAATATAACATAGAAAATTCAAATATTAAATTGAAGAAGAAAACATCTTTTCGCAAAAGTCAATGGAGATTTTTCCAGATGGTATAAGAATGGATGGATGATAGCCGGAGGATTTATATTCTACTATTAACTTATTATCTTGATAAATTTATTTAATTAGTTTTTTTTGTTATCATTTTATGAAGTATACGAGCAATCAATTTTCCTTTTTTACGGTTGGAGTTTATAATTGGTGTTTTTTGTCAAGTAGTTGGATAGTGATGCATTTTTTAGTTGTTAATCTATTTTTTTATTCTTTTTTGATAATTGTTGTGCTAATCTTTTGATCCTAATTTTAAGTTGTTAGACACTGATGAACTTTTGTTCAATTCTTCAATTTAGGCTCATCACTTTGAGCAATGTTATGTCTTATTCCATGTCAGCCTTTGTTGTGTTTGCAATGTATTACTTTGACAATACAGGGTTCATTTGGAATCCACGTAGTGTTCATTCTAAGACATGGTAAGGTTGATTTTCACACATTTGTTTATTATAAACGTAGTATTTATTATGAAACAACCTAGTACTCATTCACAATAGTGTTCATTCTAAAATAAGGTGGTGCTCATTCTGAAGCATGTCATCTGACCGTAAGTGTCATCTGACTGGAGTCAATCGCTATATATATATACATACATATATATATATATGTATATATATATATATGTATATATATGTGTGTGTGTGCATATATATATGTATATATATGTGTGTGTGTGTGTGTATGTGTGTGTGTGTGTATCAATTGTATTCTGAATTTTGAATATTCTTAGACTTATTTAATTGTTAACCATTTGATTTTCAAACAACTCATTTTGTGTGCTACAAACTTCATCATGCTACAGGGAGTACAGGCATCATTTTCCAATGTTTCAAACTTAAGAAGCCAAAACAAGAGTTATAGAAATAGAATTAAAATGGAGCTCTCCATCACACAACCTGATGATTGGCATCTTCATCTTCGTGATGGTCATCTTCTTGAAACAGTTGTCTCTCACAGGTCTATTTAGTAATAATTTCAAATATGAATGTTGCAAAATACTAATATACTACTACTATGTTCCTCCTTTCTATCTGTAGAATGTAGTTTTACACCTTGATTTATATACTGTATTCGTTATAGTGCATCTAACTTTGGAAGGGCAATCATTATGCCGAATTTAAAACCTCCTATCACTACCACTGCTGCAGCTGTCGCATACCGGGATTCCATCTTAAATGCATTGGCTCCTAATTCTGGTTTTACTCCGCTTATGACACTATATTTAACCGATACAACAAGTCCGCTGGAAATCAAACAAGCCAGTACGTTTACCTGCATGGCGACATTACTAAAACTTGATTTGGTGTTGTATGGCTTCCCGGTGTTACAAAAAATTTGTCTTTATACATCTACCATCTGTTCATGTGTTGACATGTTGCAGAAAATAGCGGAGTAGTATATGCTGTGAAGCTTTATCCTGCTGGTGCTACAACCAATTCTCAGGAAGGCGTTACTGATCTTTTTGGAAAATGCATGCCAGTTCTTGTGGAAATGGCTGAGCAAGAGATGCCTCTCCTGGTACAAGTCTTCATCATCAAGAATCTAATTTTGCTTTGGTTTTATGTAATGGTTCAGTAGACAATAGTATACCACAACTTTGTTGGAGAATTTGAAACTTGATAGCTTATTCAACTTGTAATCAGGCAGTTCCTCATTATTTGGGTATTGTTTGGAAAGTGGAAAACATTATCAGGAGAAGTTATTTTCTTGTGTTTGGTTTTACCTCGTAGAGTGCACAGTAAGATGAAATATGATTCATGTCTATTGAAATCTAAATATATCTTTAGATTTCCCGATCTTTATGTAATAGAAATAAATAAATAAATTGAGTTTTATCGTAAAAAAATTGAATAAAATGAGTTTGAACAAATGTAAAAATAAATTTATTGAGTTTGAACCAACGTTTTATTTCTCTCCGCCTTTCTTTTCCTTCCCAATTCCCCATATATTCTCCTCTTCATTTTCTTTCCATAGCAATATCCATGATCCAAACACTCTAAGCTATTAGATATGTTAACTGCAGGTCCATGGAGAAGTAACAAGCCCTGAAGTTGATGTATTTGATCGAGAAAAGGTTTTTGTTGAGACAGTTTTAGGGCCTTTAGTGCAGAGACTTCCACAGCTGAAGATTGTGATGGAGCATGTCACCACCTTGGATGCTGTGAAGTTTGTAGAATCTTGCCAAGAAGGTATGAACTATTATCATCACTGTATTTTCTTTTTTCAACCTAACTCTTCAGGTTCTTACTATCCATTGCTTAAGTTTGGCTCATTGTGTTTTTATTTACAGGATATGTCGCAGCGACGGTCACCCCACAACATCTTATTCTAAACAGGAATTCTCTGTTTCAAGGTGGGCTCCAGCCACACAATTACTGCCTTCCTATACTTAAACGAGAGATCCACAGTACGTCATCCAAATCAATTACAGTACTTGATTAAAATGCTTTGAGATCTATCTTTCTACTCTTTAAATGCATGGATCCTGGACAACAACAGGCAATGAAAACAATCCCCAGATTACATTTTCTTTCTTTTTTGTCAATTTTCTTCCATGGTTTTTCTTTCACCAGTATTTTCCAGGTTCCAAACAAACTCTGAACTTCCTCTTCAAAATGTCTTAAAATACAGGACAAGCTATTGTGTCTGCCGTGACAAGTGGCAGCAGAAAGTTTTTCTTAGGCACTGATAGTGCTCCACATGATCAACGGAAGAAAGAATGTCCGTGTGGGTGTGCTGGTATCTACAATGCTCCTGTGGCATTGTCGGTCTACACAAAGGTTTTTGAGGAGGTTAGGTTTTCTTAAACGAAACCACGTTTTCTACGTATGACCACAGAGCTGCTTTGATGGTTGATTTGTGGCATTATTTTTGTGTCTAGGCTGGCGCGCTTGACAAGCTAGAAGCATTTACAAGCTTTAATGGACCTGATTTCTATGGTCTTCCTAGGAACACAAGAAGGATTAAATTGTCTAAAACCCAGTGGAAGGTACCACAATCATATTCCTACGCTTCAGGGGATATCATTCCTATGTTTGCTGGTGAAACATTGGAGTGGCAACCTTCTTCACCCATATGATGATGTTGTGGGAACTCGTCAAAATAAAACCCAACATGGTTGGTGTCGATGAGCCTTGCCTTAAATGCCTTTTTTTTTGGGGGGGGGGGGGGGTTGAGCCATGGACCCATTTCAGTCATTGACTTTGGTTAATGTTTCTTTAAATGTGTGCTGACAAGTGCTTCTCCATGTCCCAAATTGTCTGTCCCTCTTGTTTATTGCGTTATTTTTAGCCAATGAAATTATATGGGACCTTTATTATAGATCAAAATCATATGGTTTGCCAAGGACCTTATAGTCTGATGGTACGACTCCCAAATGAGAGATATGTGTTAGATTCTTGGTGTTCGTAATAACTCTACAAGCGTTAATAAGTCGAGAACATAAGAATAAAAATAATGGAAAAAACAAAGTGTTAAAAAATCACTAAAGCCAATGATTATCCTGATTACCCAAATAGATATAGAGTATCTAAGAAACTAATTTTTGATAAAATAATTTATCTTTATCTGTGTTAGAAATTGTTAGAAATTGTCTGTTAGAAATTCGGATATATGATGTTATTATAAAAAGCAATATACTTATGTCACCTTTTGATTCATAGAAATTTTAATGTAAATTTTAAATATATAATTTTATTGTACTTTTTTTAATGCCACAACAATTTGTAATTAAGTTGAATTCAAAAACGTTAGTCGAACTTCATAAACATCAAACAACTTAAATTGGAAAAAAAGGAAGTACAATTTTCATTTTATTATTTCACACAAATTTTCAAATGGATTACAAATAATTTCAACCAAACATATTAAACAACAACGGCTAACCTAAATTGAAATATACTCCTTTTTCCCAGGACCCAAATTAAGCAAGAAAATAAGTACATACACATAATTACTATGCCTTTGATTGTCAAAAAAATTTATTATGCCTCTATAATTCTACTCATATTGATTCATATTTNGCTCCCCTTTGACCCGTGGCCCTGCTTACATTTAAACAAAGTTTTTTTCAATTTAGTGAATTTTTTTTTAAAAAAACATTTATAAAAAAACTAAATCAAAAGTTCTGCTTGTGCAGAGCAAAGGGCAAACGTGACTTGATTATTTAATTTTAACAAATGATTAGAGAGAATATTTAAGGAAGGAAGATATGTATTTACCCAGTACTCCTTCCGTCCGATTTAAACTACCCGTTTTGGATTACGATGTTTGACTGGACTTATTTTCAATTCAATTTAAATGAGTATTTGGGTGGAATTAAATGATACTCCCCCCGTCCCAAAAAGATTGGTACATATTGACTTTTTGGGAAATTAAGGGATGGATATTTTGGTGTTGACTTTCCAAAAATACCCTTGATGTGATGGTTAAAAGTAAGATGTGATGGGTAGATTATTAGAAAAAAGGTATAATGTGATAGGTAGGATATGAAAAAGTAAGGGGTAAAAGTGGTTTTTTAATAGAAATGTAACGAACTTTACGGGACACAGTTTTTTCAAAACGTGTCGGACTTTTTGGGACAGAGGGAGTACAATTTATTTTTAAAAACTACATCAAAAGTTTTTCAAAATAAGAGGGTGACAAGACTATATTATTTTATCAAATAAGAAGTTAAAATAGATAAAGCAAGCGAATGGAGGGAGTATAAAACAGGGAAAACTTGCCTGAGCGGCTTCTTGCATATTGGATCTTCCGCTTCCAACATGACACCTTTGATCTTGTGTATTGGCCCTAGAAATTCCTGACAAAACTGGTCGGGACAATTGGGACAGGTCGGATTGGGTAGAACCGATAGAGATATTGTCGTACCGGTTCCCAAATCTTGAGCCTTCAACAGCTGGAGCTAAAGGCCCCGAGTGCGAAATCACTTGTGCAGAGGGGTTCTTGATTGCCTCTTTCATAGCTTGTGAGGGCCTCCGTGATGGACCAATAGCTACTCTTGAAACACCTTCTTTATTATCTGCCTTTAACACCTGACTTCGGCTACTACAACTTCCCTTCCTCTGCAATAAATGCAAATAACCATGGGGGTTTGTGGTCAACTTGTGGTTTCTTTGGCTAAATATTCCCTTCGTTTTTAAAGGGTATGTTTGGATCACAAGAATTGCTAAGTGAAGTAAATAGAATGCTGAGGAAAGTTGCTTTGTATTAAAATATTAGGCTTTACATTGGACAATGAAAAGAAAAATGAATCATTAGTTTTATTAGAGTATTATTCTTTCATGTTTGTACATGAAATTTCACAACATGCCCTTATATGAAGTCAGTTTTCGATGATTTACTTCTACAGGATTTACTAAATGGCAAGTTATATGTGAAGAAAGTGCTTTTAGTTAATGGGAAGTTATTTGAAAACGGAAAGAGTAACCTTTAGAACTAGTGTAGGCCAAAAGACAAAAATGGAAAATATTGCATGGTTTTAATTCAAAAATACTTTGTGTTTGGATTAAAAAAAAAACCTTTCGAATATATACCTGCAAAGATCTAGTTATCTCAGCATTGACATCCAGGGCAGGAACGCCTTGAGTTTCTTGTAATTGGTCCTTTGCTCCAGTAACTCCTTGCCTGCAAATAATGTCTCAATCATAAATACATATTGTCTTCATGTCCTAAAGGTGTGAGAGACAACACATTGTTCACTTGACTGCAAACAACTTTTACAGAATTATAAAACTATAAGAAGGTTTGAGCGCTTTGAACTACAACAAGCTGAAAAGTGCATTGAAAATGGTAGTGAGGGATCAACATGCAATAAATTACCTCCTATGTTCACTTTCACGCAATTTTGCATCAATTTCCTTGCTGGGAGGGTATTTTGGTAAACTGGATGGATCACAAGCAAACGGGTGCCTTCTAAAGAACTGCCACCGAAGTCTCGTGTTAGGCATGAAACGATAATTATAAAATCGTGCACATACAAAAAAGAAGGCAATACTAATGCATTTCAACCATAAGGTTCTTGGCCAAGAGAAACTAACTCACATCACTCTTTAGAGCAAGACCAGCCGTTCCCCTATGTTCGGGATCTATAGAAAGCAAGGTATCCATTAGGTCCACAACAACAGGAGGAAGATCCTTAAATGCATCAGCAATACGCCGTCTGTAAGGTTGTATTGGTTTGAATACAGTTGTATGAGGCAACTTCTCTTTTCTCCAATAGTCTTCAGATGGTGAACCACAAAGCTTAAAAATCTTATGCAATTGTTCCACCTACACAAAATTTACATTTGTAGCCTTTGGCAAGGAAAAAATAATAATACTATAAATTAAAACACTACAACATTATGAATATTCAAGAGAGATAAAAGAAGTCCTTGTGTTAAACTAGATAAATGATTGAACTTAATCTAATCTATTTGACCTAAATCAAATATGTACCTCAGTTCTCCCAGGCATGATGGGCGTGCCAGCATATAATTCTCCAAGTATGCAACCAGTGCTCCATAGGTCCACACCGACTCCATAATGAGTTGCTCCTAATAAGAGCTCTGGCGGGCGATACCAAAGAGTCACGACACGGCTTGTCAAAATTTTCTCATGATCAAAAAATGTTGCTAATCCAAAATCTGCAATCTTCAAGATTCCCTGATCGTTAACCAGAAGGTTTGAACCTTTAATATCTCTGTGTATAATACCGTGATTGTGGCAATAACTGAGTCCACTTAGCAGCTGTTTCATGTAGCATTTGACCTAAACAACCAAAAGGGGATTAGCATTCGAAGCAAGTTGGACAAAAGGAAACATAACTTATTAGGGGCATCGATTTCGCAGCGGGCACACCTGGGATTCTGAAAACTTGACATTGGGGAGTGATGCCAATCCGGTGAGGTCATGTTCCATGTACTCAAAAACAAGATACAAGCTGCAAGACGTTCTTGAGGTGATGAGGCCGTCCAGTTTTATTATATTTGGATGATCAAGCCTTCTTAAGATAAGAATCTCCCTAGCCATGAACTTGACACTCTCGAGATCAGCATTATCAAACCTAACTCTTTTTAATGCTACTAACTTATTGTGTGTCAGGTCTCGAGCTTTGTACACACTACTGTAAGTTCCTTGACCAATCTGCAAGAACAAAAACTGCCATCTCACAACCACGAAACCTAACCAAAATAATGTTTTGTTGTTTACAATAAGATCAAGTGATGATATATATACCTTATCCAATTTCTCAAATGTATCGGCTTTGCGAGGGAGCCATCCAAGGATGGCTTCGCCAGCGACAGAAGCAAGCCAGGAAGGCCAACCTGCAGCAACCAACTCCCCTTCTGTGGCATTGGATACGCTTCCAAACCCACGGGGACTGCAACTGATTATACCATCTGAATTCTTACTTATTAATATCAATTCGGAGTTATCATCCCTAACCCTTCTAGACCCATTTCCCTTCTTATCCATCAATCTTGCATCACTCTTTCCCTTCTTCTCATTCTCCCTGTAACTCTTGTCTCTCCTCGAAGCAGAACGAGTTCGCCTGGATTGTGATTCTGATGATCCCTTAATCAATACCGTCTTGTTATCATCCCCTAATTTATCTTCGATAGAAGAAGCTTTCCCACAAACGCAACCCATTATAAACTAATTCAAGAATCCAACAAAATCAGGCATCAAAGAATGATCTCAATCAGTCCAAGAAAAGTCAAAACCCGAAATCAAGAAAGCTATAATTCAGAACTTTCATATCACAAGAACTTGCAAAGAGTCATACTGCGATTCACAACGAGCAATTGGATGAATACCCAGAAGTCTTTGCACCAAGAAGGAGCCAACGCCGAAAAGATTCCTCCTTTAATTTTCACACACACAAAGAGAAAGGTAATTCAGCTGAAAGAGATTCCACCTTTAACCTTACTGTTCAGAGAAATTCCAACCTCCTGAGAAACGTTTATTTTTATAATAATCCTCGATCTATGCAGCTGTTTCATTAGCGTTTTCGGGGGAAATTTTAGCTTTTTTTCACGGAAATGAGAAAATATTACGAGTACTACGCAGCAGCTCTTAAGCCTCAAAGGGAAAGAAGATCATGGAGCATAGGTTTGACTATTCAACACGCGCTTATAGGTATAAGTCTTGACTTGTTGCTGTGCATTTTTTTCCGAAAAGAGAGAAGATTTTGTTTACAACTTTACATACTCTTTATTTTTTTTTAAAGAAATTATCTCGAACAATTTCATATCTTCATACTCTTTTTAAAAAAATTCCACTTTTGTTTCAAAAAAAAAATTCCACTTTTTATTGTTATAAAAAATAATCTCACATTTTCAAACATGTGCAAGTTTTGGATTGTCGTTAAAAGCAAACAATCACTTAATTGATTTTTAAAAAATGTCTATTTTCATAAATAAGTGAAATGTGAGATAATTTTAAGTAAATTCTCTTTTTTCATTTTTATATCTAACATTAAATTTAAATGTATTTTTTAAAATTTTTTTTATAAATAATATTCCACCAAATTTAAGTATTCTTTAGAATTAATTTTTTCAATAATCGATAGGGTTAAGGAGCAAAATAGGAGTAAAACATTGATTAAATTTCAAAATAGGAGTTGAAAGATAAAACCCCCAAAGTAGGAGTACCCTCTTCTCACTCAATTGTGTCATGTCGTGCTCAATGGTGTTATGTCGCGCTCAATTGTGCCATGTCAATGTTGCTCAAATGTACAAAATTTTCATCAATGGCTGCTCAACTCTGTCATGTTGCCGTCGGCAATGCCGGCACCCCAACTGCAACGCCCCTACCGTCGCTGATATCGCGCCGCTACCGTTGCTGACACAGCGCCTCTACCATCATCGATGTCGATGTCCCTTTAATCTTCGTCACTGCCGCCATGATCAACCTCTTCAAACTGCACCATTTGAATCTCAGTCGCCGCCGCTTCATTAGACATTGATTTTGGTTTGATTTTTTCTTTTCATTTTTGCATTTGATTGTATTTTTTAAATTTTTTGTTTGATTGTTTTTCTATTGTGTTTAAATTTTGCTCACAGTTTTAGCAAAATTTGGTGATAGTATTAAGAAACTTGACATTTTATATTGACAATCTTGACATTTCACTTTTCTTTTTGACATTTTATATTGGCATTTTTGGCATTATGTAATAACATTCTTGGAATAATGCAATGATATGTTTGTCAGTACGCATTATCGTATTTGACGTTGTGGTTTTAGTTGGCGTATTAAAAGTTTTTTCCCTTGGCAGTTTCTTTAATTTCCGATTAGGACATATGAAAGGTCTCTTTAATGGTCAAAATCCTTTCACTAATCTTTTGTTTAGTGTTTGATCCCTTAATTGCGTTTTGTACCCCCCCAAAGAAAACGTTTTAAATATTTGTTCATGAAGTTAGTGTTTTACGGAATTTTTTTCTTGTTCTTTTTAGTACATTAAAAAAAATTATAACCATCACATAATAAAACTGAAGAATTAGCTTGTATATACGATTGTTTTGTTCTTAAATTAGCAGCTAAAGTAGTCGCAGATGGGCCACTTTTGTTTAGTTTTTATTTTATTTTAAATTTACTCCTACTTTGAGTATATAAGTTTGGGACTCCTACTTTGGGTATATGACTAATGATTTACTCGTATTTGGGGGGTTTTCTTAACAATGAACCATGAGCAATAACAACATAAGTTTTAAAATCATGAGAGGTAACAGTGCACATTTACCAAACCATAGGAGGGTGCTGGTGCAATAAACTCGAAAAAATATTATAGGATCGAAATCCGAGAAATCTAATTTTCGAATTAGCATTAGGACTTTAAATTATGAAACTAAATCGCATGTGTTTTCCAAATGTTGGAAAATTGAATTATGGGAGTTCAAAATATAAAATTGAAATAAAGTCTCATACTCAAACACAACGGTAATCATTCAAAATGAACTAGGGACTATGGAATACTCTCCCCCTCTCAAGATTTATTACCGTCACAATATCGGTCTTCTAAAAACTTCTTTTTACTTGTTTTTTCATGGACTATTCATTAAAATAAAACATTTTAATTGTCTCACCGTCCCAAATTAAATAACCTATTCAGTATTCACCGAGTCAAACTTCATTCACTTTCTTTCTCTTTTCTCGACAATCATTTGATAAAATAAAACAATCATGTCACAACTAGTTATGTAGATCTTTTACTGTAGTATTTTAATATGTAATTTTTGTTTTTAAATTTTACATCATTTTTCATATAAAATGATTTAAAACATAATTTTAATCAAACATCATGAACTAAAATGAAGAATATAAATTAGGACGGAAGAAGTATCTTTTATTTTGTAGAAGTTTTTACTTAATTTTTAAAAATTACTTTATAATTTTTTATTTATTTTTACTAATTTATAAATAAAATAATTTTAAATTGCATGAGACTTCGCACGTCTTATAAATTTTGTTCTGAAATCCAGCCCCTTTTTCATATAAAATAAATTAAAAAAATTTCAGCAAAACATGATAAACCGAAACACACAATTTTAAAATTAATTAGCGGGAGTAAAAAAGAATACCAAATACCTAGTGGAAAATAGTCAAAATAAAACATCGGACCTAATAATAATAATTTCACCTTGGTTTTCATGTCAAAATCAACTTGGGGGTGCAATTGAAGGGGGTGGGGGACGTGTTTGGGTCGGGACGGGGTGGGGAGGTGTACCGGGAGATTAGGGGGGTAGGAACCATCAATTTCATGAACGGGGCACTGGAGCACCCCGGGTCATCGCATAACATTGGTTCCCAATGGGAACGGCCTCTAATATTTTTGGGGCGGGGATACTCATCTTTGGTAGGGACATAACATGTCATACAAGTAAAAGAAAGTATCCTTTTCATCCCGCCCCAAGTGCCCTAGTGAGGCACTCATGCCTCTTGAATAGTCAATCATAAACAAAAACATTTCAAACTCGAAAGAGCCTTCGAGCCACGGGGTGAAGTCCCAAAATCTCCTCATGCACTCAAATCCTCTGACCAGTTTACCCTGTTCCTGGTAATGATCAGCAAGTATGAACCAAATCCCACCAGCCCAACACTTCTTCTCTCTTGTCCAAGCTTCTGCCAATCCCTCTGCTTCAATAAACAGACCCTGCCTACAATATCCCTCGATGATCAGCTTGGAAATGTTTAAATCGTCAAGACTAGACAAGTTGCCAGATGATTCCCACTCTCTCGCCATCTTCATGGCCTCGTTCAACTCGCCCCACTCCACTAGTGACCTTATAATGTCCTCATAATCCATATTAACTGCTTGGGCCGCTGAGTCCTCTGGATGTACCAACAAAGCGACTTTGAGTTTGTATCTTGCATCGACTGGAATGAGTTCTAAGATTGTTTTGCCATCATCAGTTCTAAATGATCTAGAGCACAGTGATGCACCGCAGTATAAGGGGAAAAATGACCCACATGCTTCTTCCAGGTATTGGAGAAACATCATCTAAATCAATTGAGGCCCACAATTATGATCACATCCCAGAAAGTAGTCATATGCTTGAAATAGTTCATCCGCTTTAAGGTATTCTCTACAAAGTAAACGTGAAAGCTTGTTGACGCCCTTCTTCCCCTTGCCAGCCCACTCAAAGATTATACTAGATGCCTTCCCTAATGCACATTTTTTATGTACTCCTCAATAATTGGGTAAGGAATGCGAATATCAATCACGCTGCGCCAATTACCGAGTACTTCCCACTCCTTGACAAACTTCATAGCCTCATCTAACTTACCAAGCTTCACCAGTGACTTTATCACATTCTCATAATCACTTTCTAGCAGATAATTGGGGCTTTTCCTTCTAATATCCTTCTTTTGTAATATTACCCTTGCCTTTTCAAGAGCATCAGTGGCCTTTTCTACAAGGAATTCTCTATCATAGAACTGGGCTACCACGGCGTAAGTACACTAGTCCATGGATATGTGGGTTGACTCTCCATTTCTCTCAGCATTCTATCCATCCCATCCACATCATACGACTTTAACCCAAATGAGCTAATGCAGATTCTGTAACTATCATTATCAGGTGAAACCTTTCTCTTCTTCATCTCGGCTAACACCCCAAGGACCTTCTCAATTTGGAGACTATTGGCGTAAAGGCGCATGATTTCATTGAAAGGGCGAAGTGACAACGCAAAACCCAACTCTTTCATCTTCTGAAAATGCAATAAAGCCTCTCCTGTTCTGTTTTCATGCACATAACAATGAAGGAGTTCTCCACATGTCTTGTCATTTCTAGCTTGGTTTGGCAAGTGCCTCACATGGCGCTCCGCAGCAGAACATCCTCGAACCCTCCAAATCAAATTTATCAGGACAGCATGGTCAGTACACGAGAATTTATAAATACCTTTATTTCTCATCCATTCATAAACCTGCAAAATGTACAACATTATAACAGATGCTATCAGAATTACAGAATGCATCTGTTGTATCTCAAACCCTTTTATAAATGAGATACTTGTGGTCTTGATTAGAATCATACTTGTCGCGGCGCCAAGGCGAGGCAACAAGTAATTAATGAGAATGGTTATACTTAGTAACTTCAATATTAAATATATCACATTATATATTGTAGTAGATAAAGTTTAAGATTTGACAGTTCGGCCTTAAGTGCGTTCTAAATCTATGAAATACACATTTAAAATAATTAAACGCACCAAAATATGAAGAAAAAAAGCCCTACAAAAATTTTGTAGTTCAAATTAAATATGAAAAAAAGTATGCACTTGAAAAAAGAGTACACATCGCATACTCGTTTAGCTCGAGACCATCGGGGGAAGAACCAGAGGGATTCATGTTAACAAAAATTGAAGAAAGGAAAGATGTGAAGAAGATTGAGGATTGGAGATTGAAGAAAGGAAATATGTGAAGAAGATTGAGAATTGGGATTTGATATTTAAAAAAAATTAGAGATTTTTTTGGGGTGTAACAACTAAAATAGCTGTTGGGGGGGATCAACGCCACTGTGCGTTAAACGTTTGATGCAAGGCGATGACGCCCGGATGAATCCCAAAGGGGGGCGGTGTTTAACGCCGAGGAGGCGTTAAACGCCCCATGGCGCCCCCCGGCGTCAAGAGCATTTCCATTGCTCTAAAGCATTTTACTTTCAAAAAAAATAAAATAAATAAAGCATTTTCAAAAAAATAAAAAAGATATTTACTCTGTATAACACACTTTCTATCGAGGGAGAGAGAGTCTAGATCGACTCAGAAATTAAACTACTCACAGAGTGAAGATTTGCGAGAGACTGAGTCCCCGATGACCCCTTCGGGCGACAATAAGAGAGGAGCGTGGCAGAGTAGTCGCATCCTAAGGTACTTGTGATGTAAATTGATTGAAAGAAGCACATTGCTTCCCAAAATCATGGCATCTAGTCGTCCGCAATTCCGTGCGACTTGCGACAACATCACGTCGTCTGCAATTCCGAACGAGAATGCCAAGTCGTCCGCCAAACGACGCCTAGGCGAGGAAGGCATAATTAGGCGAGTCGATCCTCCATAGCGAGAAGAGCAAAGCGTTGGAACACCTAGGCGACGCCATGACCACTATGATTAAAAATCATTCCATCTACTTTGATAACAACACCAGTAATTCAGATAGACCATCACTTAACTGACACAACGACACTAGATTCAAACTTGAATATCAAAGGGAACATGCAATAAAGATTAGACTTCTTTCATTTGACACAAATAAAAAGAATGATAATGTTCCATTGCCCTGAATTCCCTGTACGAGAAACAACATTAACCAAGTGCCAATTGCGATGTAAGGGGGTATCAGATGTACGCAGCCTGACCTCTAAGTTTAAAACATAGAGCGGTAGTTTCCAAATGAACCATGAGCCTTGAACGTTGCTTTGACTACCAGCTATTTCACTATTAAAAGAAGGGTAGAGAGCCATTTCGCTTCCATCATACTCCAAAGCCAAAAAAAATAGTGAAACTTTGGCTCAAAAGCTTTGAAACAAAAGAAATCAAGATGCACAATTCAAATTTTACACCATAGTCGAATCCTAAAGTAAAGATGATTCTAACTACTCTCTAATAAATTAAGCACCACAGAAAGCTTCTTGTGACAAAATTTATATAGAAAAATTAGTGACAATTTTACACTCCCACAATACATTCAATGTTTGACACAAGAACACAAATTTTCTAAGAGAAAGTCATGTCTATCATTGAAAGTCTTGTGGGATTACTGGCTTGTTATTGTTGGTGTTGTTGTAATTCCTAAGAACAGCTTAATACCATGGTTATCAGGGCGACAAGTCGAATGGAGTCGATAAAAAGAGAAGACTGGTGGACTAGTCGACAAATCACAATTAGTATTGAAAATTTTAACATTATATATATCTTCATTCACCAAAGATAACTATAACTATATATATTTATATGACGAAATATCATTAGTAAAATAAAATTATGTTTAAAGTTAGCAAATAAAGTCACATGACGAAGGGTACATAAGAATCAATAGTAGTGGCGTATGCCATATATGGGCTATGACAAAGAGAGAGAGAGACATCGAGAAGGGTAAGTGACTCTCGCGATGTACTGATCAAGTGAGCGAAGCCTTCTATTTTTTTAAATTTAATGAAAATTGGTTCGGGTAGGGTCGGGTCAAATTGGGTAGGGTTTCAATCATTGACTAGTCGTCGCCCTCTACAAAACGACCAGACACCTAGTCGACGACTAGAGTAGGCTACGACTTAACAACCATGCTTAATACTTCACTCTGAACATTAACAACTTCACAGGTAGTTCAATGATGAATTAGAATAAATTAGAATGTTAGTACACGAGACAACTTAGAGAGAAATTGGTTGTTAAGGCTTTTATATGTTGCCATCAGATACATGTGTAGAGTCCACTTCAAAATGGGATCCATGCTTTGATTTCTTTTTATGCTTCTTCCTTACACATTTTTAAACAACCCACATTGTCAAATTTATACTTCTTTTTAATCAATCTACATTTTCTCCTGATGGTGGAGTCACTCGGTGCTAGACTGAATCTTATATACTTCGCATGTGTATCAATGTGTGTATACTGTGTAATTAAATAATAATTCCTCCACCCCATTTTCTTTTGAGGAACCCTTCATCCCATTTAAAAGTTTATTGTACAGGTTACGATGTTTGACCATGTCATATTCAATTTAGTGTGTATAAAGATTACGCTACTCTCGCGGGATCCAATTGGGTTGTAGCTATTATATAAAAATAGAAAGATTGGCATATAATTAAAAATTAAAATTTATACTTTATCCCAATTTAAGTTGGTTCAGTATTCACAGAGTCAAGCTTTACTCAATTTTATTACCCATTTTTGGTACTCGTTTAATGAAAAAAAGTCATGTCACATCTTGTTTTGTAGAACTTTAAATATAGTTTTTAAATACTCCGTATATAAATTTTAGTTTTAAATTCTACACCAATTTTCATATAAAACGAACTTAAAATAATTTTAGTCAAACATTGTAAACCAAAATAGACAATTTAAATTTAGACGGAGGGAGCATATTTTAAAACTAATCAAAACATCTACAACAAAAGATGTCATGACTATACTCCCTCCATCCCGCAAAGATTTACATATTTACTTTTCAAAAATATTAAAGAAATTGTTAAAAAGATATTAAAAAGTGAGAAGTGTATGGGTGAAAGTTGTTTGGAAGAGAGGAAATTTGGATCACTTATTGTTTTCTAAAATGTGAAAAAGTAGAAGTGAGAAAATTATTTTGGGACAGATGGAAAAGGAAAGTAGGCATATCTTTGAGGGACAAATGGAGTATTATTTTATCATCAAATGATAGATGAAAATAGACAAAAAGAAAAAAATAGTTTGACTGTGTAAAAAGCAAGTATAGACTTTTAAATGGGATGGAGTATAAGAGCAACCATCCTAACAAGTACTACGTATAATTTAAAACAGGAGTGAACAAAGCTAAATGATAATAGAATTCTTGCAATAATTATAAGTTTAATTTGAATCACATCCATTTATATTTGATGTGGAAGATTGAGATCAAATCCATTCAGATCGATGAGAATGATTCAGCTCAGACATTAATAAATTCATATTATAACAGACAGTGAAGGGAAAAAGCCCTTAATGTGGCTCAAAAAGTACTCCGTACTGTGTTGCAATTTTTATGCATAGTTGTGGCAAAATGAGCTTCCCCAAAAAGCCTCAAGTTCCTTGTAATCTAATTAAACAGTATAGTAGCACACAACAACCCAGTTGAATCCCACGAGAGTATGGTCTGGGGAGGGTGTCTTTATGCAAACCTTGCCCTTACTCAGAAGTAGAGAGGTTGTTTCCAAGAGACCCTCGCTCAAGCTTGATAGATAAAACAATCATAGGGGATACATAAAGTAGAGAAAGTACATAGCACACATAGACGTAATAAACTAGAACAAAGAATATAATCACAGAGCACCAAGCATACAAGGCATACAAAGCATACGACAAATAGGAAACTACCCCTTAGCCCAAGGCACCTATCGAACTACTCTAATCATAGCTCTCCAAACACACTTATCAAAGGATATCCTCAGTAACTGCAAGAAGTCCTAAGCCTTGTTTAATCACTTCCTTCCAATTCTTCATATGTCTACCCCTTCTCTACTCCCCCACCAACAAAAGCCTCTCGCATCTTCACATTGGGCGTAATCACCTTAGTCTAGCACCCACAGCACCACCTCACAATATAGCAGCAACAAGATTGAATATGAAATAGGGAAGAACTTACCTTTAGAGCTAGAGAGAACCGCCCATCCTTGCGAAGTCTCCTTATGATCCTCTTAAGGTACCCCGCCGAAGCCTCCTCCTTAAAATCAACCCAATCATCTAGCATAGACTTGACATCAATTTCCTTATCAAGCCAATGAATATGACCAATCTGTGCCCACAAGCTCTCCATCCATTTCATTGATGGCTTTATGAATGAGAGAGTACAAAATTAATTTTATCACAACATGGTTAAAGAATGTTCTTTTCTATCCCACTTTCATGATATACTTCTTGTACAATGATGAGTGATATATGTAATAATGGCTTTATCTTAATGTTTGTTCTCAAAAAAGGGGCTAATGTTTTTATGTGGAAACATAATTTGAAGGTGACAATGTGTGGTGAGTGGATGATACAGCACAAGAGGGAGCCACACCCTAAAAGCTAGCTGCTAAGGTGGGAGAGCCCTTGGCTATATAAACCCATCACCAAGTTCCCCATTTAACCGGTGTGGGACAATGAAATCAGTCCATATCATTCGACCCCCCATAAGGCCCAACGTCTTCGTTGGTCACGGCTACGTTGGTCACGGCCACGTTGGTCACGGCTGGTTTCACCAGGCCACCACTCCATGGGCCACCACTCCGTAGGCCACTACTCCGAGTTGGCTCCGATACCATTGATACATCACAAGGGAGAGCCACACTCTAAAAGCTAGCTGCTAAGGTGGGAGAGCCCTTGGCTATATAAAACCATCACCAAGTTCCCCATTTAACCGGTGTGGGACAATGAAATCAGTCCATATAAGTGGACATGGGACGGGATGAGGCAGCGGGAGTAAGAATTTTCTAGGATTTTCTCCAAAAAAGCGGGCTCTATGTAAACCATAAAGTAGCATAGCATGGAGATTGAATCTGAAATAGGACAGAAGCATACCTGGTGATCTTTAGAGAACCACTCACCCTCATGATGTTCGTCTATGATCTTGTTGTTGAGGTCGAACCCCGAAGCATCCTGTGTAACCCAATCGTCTGGCTTGGAGGTTATCACGATCTCAGGATTAACTGGGCTTATAGTGTGCATACCCATTGATCTTATTGGACTGGAGATGTTTGTCTGGCAGTAGCAATTCCATCCCCATCGCAGCGCTGCCGAACGGAAACGTAGCCCTAAGACCAATCGATTGAGTCCAAAGTAATACATTAGACCCATCCTAATCTTCAGTTTAAAGAGGGATGATGATTTTTTCCGTTCACTTCTTCCTGTTGAAGATTTGAGAGAGAAATTAAGCCGTTGCACTTAGGGATGTGTATGAATAGAATCGAATCAAATATCACTGTATTTGATTCGTATTCGACTTTTTCAAAATATTTGAATTCATAGTCATTATTTATTCAAATCTTAAAAACAATTTGTATTCTATTCAACACTATTTGAAAATAATCCATCTTTAAAAACTTATAGACGGACTTGTTTAATTGTTTTTTAAGTTGCATAAATACAAGAGTTGGTTTACCTTAAAAAATTACAGGATAAGATAAAACTATTAAATTCAACCTTCAGGGTTATCTCAACGGTTCTATTGCTCCCATCTCCGACGACGACGAATGGTTTCAGCTCGACGCCATCCTCCAGGGCTGGATTCTCTCCACCATCACTGATGAAGTTTCTGATCTAGTTATTTCCTCTGTTTCTACTGCTTCTGCTCTCTGGACGGTGATTCATGACCTGTTTCACGACAACAAACATGCTCGCGCCATGCAACTCGAGCATCAATTTTGCACCACCGTCAAAGGATCTACTCCCATGGCTACGTATTGCCAAGAGCTCAGGAATATTGCGGATTGATTGGACGATGTAGACGCTCCCGTATCCGAACACCAATTGGTTCTCCAGATGCTGCGAGGACTCCCCGATGACCTACAGGCACAAACCACGTTTCTCCAGTTCCAAGATCCCATGCCGAGTTTCATCCAGGTACGATCGGCTCTCCTCCTCCTCGATCGGAAACGGACTCCCCTGGGCGGAACCAGCAGCACGGCGCTGCTGGCAGGTCGGGACGCCGGCGGTTTCACCGCCTGTCAGCACGGCGGGGGTGGCAGCCGCGGTACTCCTCATGCCGGCAGTGAGGATCGTGTTTTTGGCAGCAATTTTGGCGATGGCTCTTCCTCGGGACAGCGCAGCAGTTTTGGACGCGGACAAGGGCGTGGCAACGGCAACCGGGGTCGTGGTCGAGGGCGCTCAAACGGCGGATCGAGACAACGGCCGCTAACGGACGTCCAAAGTTCCTATAACTCACCTTACCCAAACCCTAGACCCGGAGTGCTGGCCCCCACTCACCTTCCAAGAACCCACATGGCTCATGGATACCGGTGCTACACACCATATTGCCTCCAATCTAGGTACTCTTTCTCATGTCTCTTCTCAAATTTTATATTCACCTCACTATATCACTGTTGGTCATGGATCTAAAGTTTGCACTACGGCGGTTGGTAACCACACCCTCCCCACCACCCCTCCCCTTTCCTTACACAATGTCCTAATTTCCCCTCATATCACACACAATCTTATCTCTGTCCGCCAACTTACTCGTGATAACAACTGCACTGTTGAATTTGATGCTCATGGTTTTTCTGTGAAGGATCGTCAAACGGGGACCGTGATGCATCGGTCCAATAATGTGGGTCCCTTCTACCCTGTCAGCGAACCAGCACCTGCCCAAGCTCATGTTTCGTCCGTAGATCATCAAACCTGGCATCGTCGTCTTGGCCACCCAAGTCCTGCAGTTCTTCGTGGAGTCCCTCACAATTTTCCTTTATTTACAAATTATCAACAAACTCTTTGTCATGCGTGCCAGTTGGGAAAGCATGTGCGCCTCCCATTTTACTCTTCTAGTCGTGTTTCTTATTTTCCGTTTCAACTTTTGCATACAGACTTATGGCAATCCCCTGTGCAAAGTATTACTGGTTTTAAATTCTATATGTTGTTGTTGGATGATTTTTCTCATTACTTGTGGGTGTTTCCTTTAAGACATAAAAGTGATGCTTTTACTCACTTAAATTTTTTTTGTGACATATGTGAAAAATCATTTTAACACAACAATTAAAGTTGTTCAATGTGACAACGGAACTGAATACAGAAACTCACCTCTTAAAAATATTTTTAACTCTTTAGGAATTCTTTTCCGTTTCTCTTGCCCTCACACCAGTCAACAAAACGGACGTGCCGAACGCACCATTCGTACCATCAATAACACCGTTCGCACCCTCCTTTTCCAAGCCCAACTCCCGCCTGAATTCTGGGTCGAAGCCCTCTACATGGCGGCCCATCTCTTCAACATACTCCCCACCACCACCTTAAACAATCAAACTCCTCACTCCGTTCTCTACAACTCACCTCCTCATTACTCCCACCTCCGCGTCTTTGGCTGTCTCTGCTACCCCAATGTCTCTGCCACCGCTCCACACAAACTCGCACCACGCTCCGCCCGCTGCATCATTCTTGGATATCCCTCGAACCAACGCAGTTATAGATGCCTTGACCTTCAAACGAATAAAATCATTGTCTCCCGCCACGTTGTTTTTTACGAGCACACCTTCCCATACGCTCACCCCCTCACTCACCCGACCTTCAGTTTTTGGACTCCACAGATGACGAACCCCACCACCTAATCCACCCCACCCTCCCTCCCACGGCAGCCCAGCCCTCCCCTTGTCTCGGCTTCCCCACGCCCCACTTCCAGACCCGCCCCGCTCCCCTCTCGGCCCACCAGCCCAAC